AATTATCAAGCCATTAAAAGTCATAGAGGAACCTGTTTATTACTAAGTGATAGAAGCCAGCCTGAAGAAGGTACAATACTGTATGATTCCAATTTTGTGACATTCTGGAAAAGGCAAAATTATGGAGGTAAAAAGATCAGTGGTTTCCAGAGATTAGTGGGGAGGGAGGGATGAATAAATGGAGAGCAAAGTATTTTCAGGTCCTTGAAGTTATTCATGGTAAATGCATGTCATACATCTGTCCAAACCCATAGAATTTACAATACCAAGAGTGAACCCTCATGTAAATTATGGACTTTGGGTGATTACGATGCATTGATGTAGGTCCTTGAGTGTAACAAGTGCCCCACTCTGTTGCTGGATGTCAATGATGGGGAAAGTTGTTCACATTTGGAGACAGGAATTATATGGGAACTCTCTGTACTTTGTTCTCAATTTTGCTGTGAACCTAAAAAATAAAGTAAATTTAAAAAATAGTGTTCCTTTGTGTCCCTTTCAGTCAACCCCTTTCCCTCTCCCCTCCCTCTCTGGGGGTTGTTGGTATCAGTGAACGACTGATGTGTTGTTTATTCCTACACTCTTGCTTTTTACACAATGTCATATAGTATGGTCTCATACAGTTTGTGTCTGGCTTTCATTTAGAGGCGTCATATAATCCTTGCTGAATATAATTCTGTATGGCTGTATCATCATGTTTATTCATTTGCCAGTTGATGGACATTTGGGGAGGTGTTTCCAGCTTTTGGCTTTTGTGAATAAAGTTCCTATAGACATTCATGTCCACATCTTTGGGTGGACATGTGCTTTCATTTCTCTAGGGCAGATAGCAAGAGTGGGATTGACTGGTTTGTATGATGGGTGTATGTTTAACTTTTAAAGTAACTGTCAGACGGTTTTTAAGAGTGGCTATCCCATCTTGCATTCCTACCAGCAATGTATGATATGTCCAGTTGCTTCTCAGTCCTTTTTTTTAAGGATTTTATTTATTTATTCATGAGAGATACATGGAGAGAGGCAGAGACGTAGGCCGAGGGAGAAGCAGGCTCCCTCTGGGGAGCCCAATGTTGGACTTGATCCCGGGACTATGGGATCACGACCTGAGCCAAAGGCAGACGCTCAACTGCTGAGCCACCCAGGCGTCCCTAGTTGCTTCTCAGTCTTGTGTGCACTCAGTATTGTCAATCTTTTTAATTTCAGCTGTCTTAGTAGGTTCCTCGTGATAACTCCTTGTGGTTTTGATTTGTGTTTCCCTAATGACTAATGATGCTGAGCATCTCTTATGTGCTTATTTGTCCTCTATATGCCTTCTTTGACAAAGCGTTCATGGTTTTGACTGATTTTTCATTGGGATATTTGAGTTGGGAAAAATCTTTATTCTAGATACAATTCCTTTATCAGTTAATGCTCATTTTAACATTTTCTCCCAGTCTATGACTTGTCTTTTCATTTTCTTAACTGTAGTTTTTGAAGAGCAGCATTTATAATTTGGGGTTTTATATGTAGGTTATGATCCATTTTGAGTTCATTTTTATATGTGTAGGAGTTAAAAATAGAAGGCTTTTTTCTTTTTTCTTTTTCTTTCTTCTTCTTCTTCTTCTTCTTTTTTAATCCAAGAGTACCCAGATATTCCTCTGTTGAGCAGCCTACCCTTTCTGTGTTGAATTACCTTGGTACCTTTGGGTATGTTTCCTAAATATACTCTGTTCCTTTGATCTAAACATCTGTCTTTATGTGAATACCACTCTGTCTCAGTTACTATAGTTGATAGTGCCTCTTGGAAACAGTGTGAATTCTCCAGCTTTATTCTTTATTTAGAAAATTGTCAGGGCACCTGAGTGGCTTAGTTGGCTAAGCATCTGACTTGGTTTCAGCTCAGGTCATGATCTCAGAGTTGTGGGATGGAGCCCAATGTGGGGCTCTGCACTCAAGGAGGATCTGCTGGAGATTATGTCCCTCTTCCTCTCCCTCTTCCTGTCCCTCTGCTCCCCCCCCCCCGCTCATGCTCTCTTTCTCTCTCTCAAATAAATAAAATCTTTTAAAAAATAAATGTTTAATGGTGAAGTGTGAATAACATAGAATTTACCATCTGAACTATTTGTAAATGTATAGCCAACCTGTTTCATATTTTTGGTGCTATTATAAAGCATTTCTTTCATTTCAACATCCAAGTGTATAAAAATGCAAGTGATTTTTGTGTATTGACCTTGTATCCTGCTATTTTGCTACATTTATTTGTTCTAGTAGCTTTTTATATATAATTTGGGACCATTAAAGTTTAACGCTAATAACATTTGTTGAGTACTTACTATGTGTCAGGCATTACTCTGTGCTACATAGATTTAATGTAATCACATCAACAACACCATGAAGACAGTCTTAGAAGGTTGAGTGGTTTGTTTGAGGTCCTGCAGCTTGGACACACAGAGCCATAGGAGAGGAGAGATAAGACAAAGAGCTGGAAGTCTTTTGTCCAGCTGTCTGTACTGAGCACTCTCTGTGTGCCAGGCACTGTGCTAAGGCTTTTATGTACATTTTCCCATTTGATCCCCAGAGGAGTCCCATGAGGTAATACTGTCACCCCATTTTACTGTGGATGGCCTGGGTAACTTGCTGAGGACCCTTCCTGAGCAGCGTGGCCTGTTTAGGGGAAGTGACCACAGCTGGTCATGGCTTGCACTTGGGAGGGCCCATGGCAGCGGGCACAGCGTGTGGGCTCTGGAGGTGCAGACCCAGTGCCACTTGCTGAACCTCTCTGAGCCTCAGTTTGTCTGTCTGTACAGAGTCTGTTCGCCACCATGACCCTTTGAAATATGTGCATCTGCAGTCATTTTCCTACATAAAACCCACATTTGGAGCTGCTCCACTTGTGGTCCACAGAAACACAGAAATTGGATGTGAGTGGAAACTGTCATGGCCATTTGACATGGATGCAGCATTCAAACACGTGATTGGATTTTGTATCTCTATGAAAGATTTTTAAATTTAAATTCAATTTAATTAGCATATAGTATACTGTTAGTTTCAGAGGTAGAGCTTAGTGATTCATCGGTTGTATATAACACTTAGTGCTCATTACATCATGTGGCCTCCTTAATGCCCGTCACCCAGTCACCCCATCCCCTCACCCTCCTCCCCTCCAGTGACCCTCAGTTCCTTTCCTAGTGTTGAGTCTCTTATGCGTCTGTTTTTGTCTTATTTTATTTTTCCCTCCCATTCCCCCATGTTCATCTGTTTTGTATCTTAAATTCCACATATGAGTGAGATCATCTGGTATTTGTCTTTCTCTCACTGACTTATTTCACTTAGTGTAATACCCTCTAGTTCCATCCATGTCGATGCAAATGGCAAGATTTCATTCTTTTTGATGGCTGAGTAAAATTCTGTTGTGTGTGTGTGTTGTATATATATATATATATATATATACACACCACATCTTCTTTATCCATTCATGTCGATGGACATCTGGGCTCTTTCCATAGTCTGGCTATTGTGGACATTGCTGCTATAAACATTGGGATGCGGGTGCCCCTTTGAATCACTATGTTTGTATCCTTTGGATAAATACCTAGTAGTGCAATTGCTGGGTCATAGGGGAGCTCTGTTTTTAGCTTTCTGAGGAAACTTCATACTATTTTCCCGAGTGGCTGTACCAGTTTGCATTCCCACCAACAGTGCAGGAAGGTTCCTCTTTCTCCGCATCCTTGCCAACATCTCTTGTTTCCTGACTTGTTAATTTTAGCCACTGTGACTGGTGTGACGTGGTATGTCCTTGTAGTTTTCATTTGCATTTCCCTGATGCTGAGTGATATAGAGCATTTTTTCATGTGTCTTTTGGCCATCTGTATGTCTTCTTTGCAGAACAGAACTTATCAAACAACACCCAAAAAAACAAAAATGCGGTCGAGAAATGGGTAGAAGATATGGATTTCATATCTTACAAAGGGGTCCACAATAAATTGGAAATTAAGAAAACAACCAGTCCTTTGCCATAGACAGTTTGTGAAACTAAGCTCTCTCCTGGATGCCTGGCGGACTTAGAACAAATAGAATCTCTCCACCATGGCCTGTGAGGCCCGAGGAGACCTGGCCTGCCCCCTGCCTCTGTCTTTCCTCCTGCTCCCCTCTACTCTGCACTCCAGTCACTCAGATAAACACCGAAGTGTGTTCCTGCCCAACACAGCTTGCATTCATTATTCCCTCTGTGTGGAGCCTTCTAGACCTTTAATATCCAGGCTCTGTGGTGTCATGCTGGGCCAGTTACAGACATCCCTTCTCAGAGAGGCTTTCCTTCCCTGCCCTCTAGCAGAGCTCCTTGTTTTATTACTACGGAACCCTTGATCCACCTGAACCTGCTTGTCTCTCTGTGTGCTGTGTCTCCTCCATTTAGAATGTGGATTGCATGAGATTGTCTCTCCTACACATTCCTAGTGGATGGTCAGTAGACACTAGTTGAATAACAGACTGAATGCAGAGAATATTGTCTGCTTCATCAGCTGTTTGAGGCTTAGATGAGGCGATGGGTGATGAGTGTCTGTGGAGTAGGTAAGCTGGGAACATTAGCCCCCCACCACTCCTGCCTTTGCACTACACAGCACCGCACAAAAGTCAGGGGCCCTGCAGACTTCTGCTCAGTGGCAGTTTCTCATGTGTCATTTACTTACTTGTTTCAAGGCACCTTTGAGCTCTGTCCCCCCTCGCCTCTGTCCCTAGAGCCCAACAGAGTCATGCATGGAGGGGAAGCATAGGAGACATTCCTGGCATGACTGTTGGGTTGTGTAGACCAGGCATGGACAAGTGGTGGGCTGTGCAGGATTGGAGCTGTGGGGGACATGGACACAACTGACTGTGTGTCTGACTATGTGTTTTCCCTGCTGCCAGTGGGATCATCACATCTTTTAGATGGCAACCCTTCTTCCTGGAGAAAGCCTGGCTGTGTGCCTGCTGTGTCTGTGCCCAGGTCTGATGGCACTCTCTTCTCCCTCTACCCATGTGTTTTCCAGTATGCCTGGGTGGAGAAGCACTTTGGTCCTGACTTTCTGGATCAGATTGTACTGTCCACAGACAAGACCGTGGTCTCTGCCGACCTTCTTATAGATGACCGGCCAGACATCACAGGCAAGTGGCCTGCGGCAGGTGAGCAGCGAGTGTGGAGCTGTGAGCCCCCGGGACAAACCGCACATGAGGCTGGCCTCACGGCCCCTGTCCTGAGTGATCCCCACTCAATCACCAGCAGTGTATTAGACCTCCTCCAGCCCAGTGCCAAGCCTCTTCCCTACTGGGGAGACAAGGTTATTCTCAGCATCCAGGCTCAGAAGGGGTGCTGCTGGGAGTCAAGAGAAGCAGGTCCTAGCTCCTGGGGTAACTCATTGGGTGGCCTTGGATGACTCCTTTTATACCTTGAAGCCTTGCCTTGCTTATGTAAAATGAGGTCCAGACTGGTTTCCAGATGTTTGGTTTGAGCAGCAAAGCCATTTTTTCCCCAAGAGCAATTTGGAGTGAACCTACTATGCAAAACAAAAAAGCAAAGCATCATTTTTTTAGTTGAAGGTGGTTTGGGGACTGTATTTATCCCTTTTCCTTATAGGTGACTCCCTGCCAATAAACCCCAATGAAACTTAAACTGGTTTATTTTTCATTTTAAGATTTTATTTTTATCTATTCATGAGAGTCCCAGAGAGAGAGAGAGAGAGAGAGAGAGAGAGAGAGAGAGAGGCAGAGACACAGGCAGAGGGAGAAGCAGGCTCCATGCAGGGAGCCCAACGTGGGACTCGATCCTAGATCTCCAGGATCACATCCCAGGCTGAAGGTGGCTCTAAACTGCAGGGCCACCCGGGCTGCCCTTAAACTGGTTTAGAAAGGAGAGGAGAAATTTATTAGCACACTCACCTGGGAAAGTGGGGTAGGAAAGCTTTGGGCATGGTGAGTCTAGGAGCTTGAACATCAGTCTAAATTCAGTTTAACTCCTGGCTCTGCCTTAGATTATCTCTGTTCACAGGCAGGCTCTGTCCTCTTGGTAGCCATCAGTGGTTTCAGGGTCAAATCCTGTTCCTGGGGATCCCTGGGTGGCTCAGCGGTTTGGCGCCTGCCTTTGGTCCAGGGCGCGATCCTGGAGTCCCGGGATCGAGTCCTAAGTTGAGCTCCCGGCATGGAGCCTGCTTCTCCCTCCTCCTGTGTCTCTGCCTCTCTCTCTCTCTCTCTCTATGTCTATCATGAATAAATAAATGAATCTTAAAAAAACAAAACAAAACAAAAACCAAATCCTGTTCCTTTGGACACCTCAGTGGGAGAATACAGAATATTGCTTCCCTAATGGCTTTTGGAGCTGCCTTGGGAAGCACACCCATATCTGCACTAGTCACAGTGTCCAAAGGGTAGAATTTGTGGGTGCACCCACCCCTGACCTCCTAAACCACGTGGTTTCACAAGAAGAATCAGGGCACATGGACGGCCTGGCGCTCCGCTCAGCTTCTCTGACCAACCACGGGGATCAGGGAAGAGGCCTGTGCAGGAGGAGCCAGGGAGTCAGGCCATAAGGTGAGGGGCAGGAGCAGCACCGAGTGTGCGTGTAGACACATGGACAGGAAGGAGTCAAGTTTGGGGGGCTCCCAGGGCCAGGGCCAACAGGCAGTAAGCTCAGGAAGGTAGAGCACGGGGAGCGGAAGGGACAGGGTCAGCAGGCTCAGCCTCTGCTGGTGGCCGTGGTGATGATAAGCACAGAAGTCCCCATGTGCTATGCATCTGCCAGGTGCCACCCTGGGTGCTTCCTGTGCGCCATCTGCAGCAAGGTGGCCACCTCCCAGGAGACAGGCCCTTGCATGGTCACGTCAAGTGAGCCTCTGCCTGAGGACACTCTGGGGCCTTGGGACTCGGGCTCAGGGCTGAAGAGCTGCTTTCCTGCCCACAGGGGCTGAGCCGAACCCCAGCTGGGAGCACATCCTCTTCACAGCCTGCCACAACCGGCACCTGCAGCTGCCGCGCCCCGGCCGCAGGCTGCACTCGTGGGCGGACAACTGGAAGGCCATTCTGGACAGCAAGCGGCCCCGCTGAGCTGGACTGCACTCTGGGCTTCCCCGCGGGGCCCCTGACCTCAGGGTGCCCGGCTTGGGGCCTGGGGGGTGGGGGGCTCCCTCTCAGATGGCCCAGACCCCCTGCATGTCTCCCTGCTCTCCCAGCCCTGCCAGGCCTTAAACTGGTCTCGGGGCAGGGCTGGCCCGGGGCCCTCGACGAGACACACGGGTGGCCGGGCGGTGCGGGGTTAGGGCTCCAGACCCAAGACACTGAGGGGCGGGCAGTCCAACTCCATCCCTCAGGGAAGTCCCGCTGTCACCACCGGTCTGTGACCCCTTGGCCAGGTGCTCCAGGGTGAGGGCTGCGAGCAGGAGCAGGTGGGAGGAGTCCTCACATTCTGGGCTGTGCAGCCCCTTCCCCCCTGCACCCTGAGCGAACACTCCCCGAGCTCCACGGCCCCCCAGGCTCCGTGCAGGGTGCACAGCACGCCACCATGCCTTGGGCCGGCTCGGAGGTGTCTCGTTCTCCTGTCCCTCGGGCCCTGCTCAGGGCCCCACACTCGGCAGCCTTGAACATTCGGTGAAGGCCTGCAAAATAAATGCGGTTCACGTGTCGCCCGAGGATGTGGCCCCTCTAGCCCCTGTCCGAGATCCTCTGGCGTCTGGCCTCTGGGCACCCAGCTAGCAGCACATCTTGTAAGTACTTGGGTGGCCCCTGCACTGATGAGGGGGGCTGAGGCGGGTGCAGCCTCATTGCCCACTTCACCAAGGGTGCGGCATGTCAAAGGAGGACTAGGCTGAGAGAGGAGCTGGTGGCCAGGTGGCCCCCTGCGTAGGCCCCCACCACATTGACCGATCCCCCTCACTGCATCCTTCCCATGCATGCCCCCCAGGCCTCCGGCCCCTCCTGCCCTACACAGTTCAGAGCAGGGGCCCCCATTTTCTGCTCCTCTCCCACACCGGGTTCCTAATGAGATCCCGGGAGCTGTGTAAAGGGGGCAGGGTGATGTTATTCTCTTGTATTATTTTTGGCTTCTGTTATCTTCGGCCCAGTGGGAAGTGGCAACGTGAACCCATCATTGCCTCCCTAGGTTTTCTTCAAGGCCCTCCCCCTCTCACTTGCTGTGCCCCCATCACTGCCCTGCAGGGAACCTCTAATAGTCCATTTCTGGGGGTCTCCTGGCTGCCCTCTGTGACTGGCATGCTTGGGCTGCCCCAGAGGGTAGGGCCAAATGGGAGAAAAGGTGAGGGGAAAGTGCCTGAAGCTCAAGCTGGCTATCCAGATGAGCAAGGAAGGACTGTTTGCTCGGTCAAAGGCAGTTTTCCATGGCACTGCCTGCGTCAGTTTCTGGATCCCTCCAGGTGGGGCCAGGGCTCTGCGGGTTCATCCTATGAGGAGTGGATTTGGGGTTGCATCCCTGACCAGGGCAGTGTGGGGGCAAGGGGGCGATCCTGGCCATCCTAGCCTCTGGCTCTGGAGGGAAGTCAGAGCCTGGAGGGCGGGTTCCCCACCTGCTCCCCAAAGACCCTCAGTTCCTCTATTGCTGCCCAGTCGAGGACACGGCCACTGTCTAAGGGCCAGAAGACCATGTCACCTGCATGGTGTGCTTTTCTTCCTAGGCCTATGTCTTGTGGCCTCCATACCTTGTGGTTGCCAGCCTGGGCCTTCACACCCTCTCTGAAGAGCCTCCCCTGCCTAGTGGTCATGCATAGATCCCCTAGGATCCCATAGCTTGGGACTGGCATGGCATCGCAGCCTTTGACTTGCTGAGAACCACTCTCCCTGGACTTGACCTTCTGGCTAGGAGCCTCCTCCTGCTGGAGCACCTGCTGGTCTGCTCGTGCTGTTGGTGCTAGCTCAAGGCCATGGCAGTGAACCAGACCCAGCCCGGTGCCCTCAAAACAAAAAGCTGCTTCACTCATATCTATCTTGGGGCTTCTTTCTGCTGAGGATGGAAAGTTAATCCCATCAGGTTTTTCTCAGCCACATCTGGTTCCTCCCCAGAGGGTGTCCCAAGCATGGGGTAGGAGGGGAGTGGGGATGTGGGGTGTGTAGATGCAAGGGCGCTCTTCTTCGTGTAATGATGGCAGCGGTGAAGGGATTGCCCCCCTCATCCTCATGCTGGTGTCACTGGACCCATGGGTGCTGGCAGCGGTGAAGGGATTTCCCCCCTCATCCTCATGCTGGTGTCACTGGACCCATGGGTGCTGGCACCGCTGGGATAGCCTGTTCCCTCAACATTAGCTTTAGGGCCCCACGGATGGTGGACAGGCCACTTCAGCCACAGGAGATAGTTGCTCTGGACGGTGCCCTGCTGGGGGCAGTGAGACTCCTTTGCTCACCTCCTGCAGCCTTTTCCTCCCATGCTCCTGGCCCCTGGTGACCTGCATGGAGCTCTAGCGCCATGGGCATGAGGAGGGGCATGGGAGGGGAGGCCAGGGCACAGAGCACCCTCTTGGGGACTCCCTCCCTCTTGCATCTGCCAGCCCTTGCTGTCTGCTCCCCGCCCGCGGTGGGTCCTGATCATACACCTGCTCCTCACAGAGCTATGGCAAGGGTGCTGTGCTCCCAGTCTTCCAAAACCTTTCCTTTTATTTATTTTATTTTTTTTTAATTTTTTTTTATATTTATTTATGATAGAGAGAGAGAGAGAGAGAGAGAGAGAGAGAGGCAGGGACACAGGCAGAGGGAGAAGCAGGCCCCATGCACCGGGAGCCCGATGTGGGATTCGATCCCGGGTCTCCAGGATCGCACCCCGGGCCAAAGGCAGGCACCAAACCGCTGCGCCACCCAGGGATCCCTAAAACCTTTCCTTTTAAACTGAAGGCCACCGGGAGTTTTAAAGGCCAGTTTAAAAACTCCAAAGCTACAAATTGCTGAATTCATTCTTTATTCATCGAAGATCACTCACCCTGAGGTATAGCACTCACCGCTTCAGCTGCCTAACACGTTTAAAGGAGAAAAAAATAATTGTGGGGGACAGATTGCTTTAGTCAGTGCTTTGGAATGTGGCCCCACCAGACAAGCAATCCAGAGCTCACTGTAATTACAACCAGCTCTCCAGGATAGGTCTGAGGGCTGCACAAGGGTAAGTGGGGTGGGGCCCTGGCCAGCCTGATGTCCTGGAGAGGTCCCTTCCAGCAGGGAGCATTGACTGAGGTCTGGGTAGAAGAAGGTAGAGCCCTTTCAGCTGAGGGGAGGCAGTGCAAAGGCCCTGGGGCTGGAAGTTGTTGCCAAGAAGCAGCCAGTATAGGAGAGAAGAAGCCCCAGAACTGGAAGCTGAAGAGATGGGGGCGGGGAGAGCTGGAAGGTGGAGCCTGGGCAGGTAACCAGCAAGGAGAGGCTGCCTGCCTGCTGACACTCACTCTGCCGTGGGTGCTGTCAATGCCCTCACTGTGCCAGGAGGGAGGGGCACCTCAGCAGCCGATGACAGGACAGCATGGCCTTATGATTTTGTGATGGTGGTGGTCGAACGGAACACACACAATTGAAATGAAGGTGATTTTCTTCAAAGCCTGAGAAGCATGTTTTGCTTTAGACCCATTGAGTTGAACTACAGGGCAGGAAGTCCCCCTCCCGGTAGGAGAGCCTGCTTGTCCTGCCCTGAGATGAGGTGGCTCTTGGCAGGAGTGGAGATTTACCCCTTTGAAGATACTGGGAATGTTCTGGGTCCTAGGACCAGAACCCCTGGAAGGAGCCATGGGCTCCAGATTAGCTGCGGGTTTCAAGCAAAGAGACTCAGTGTAGTTTCTTTACTCTTTTGAGTCATGGTGTCCCCACTGGGACCCATTCCAATACCACAGCCTTAGCAATGATAGTTTCCTTAGTGCTTACCACATTCCAGGGGCTGATGGGCACGTTCTGTGGCCTCCTAACCACCCTCTTGCGATCATTCCCACCTGGCTGATGGGGCTGTGGTCTCAGCAGTGTCCGGGGTCCCAACCAAGGCCTTGCCAGGTCAGTGGTGCCACCAGGATTATATAGTCCAGGCCACCGTGCTCTGGGGCTTGTGACCAGAGCTCCAATCCAGAGCTTCCTAAGGGCTCAGGGGTCCGTGGCTAAAGCTGAGTCAGTGCTCAAGGGATGGGCTTCCACGCGAATGTTAGTGTCCAGGTACTCAGTCTGCGGCACAACTGAGGGCAGGTCAGAAAGGTTCATGCCAGAACTGTGCATTGCCTAGAAGTCAGAAGAGTTGGCTGAGCCCAAGGAGAGAGAAGGGGGTAGAAGAGGAGGAGAGGGCGACTGGGGAAGGATGAGGAAGCTCATGGACTCCCCTGTGACCAGGAAGAAGGGGGAACGTAGCAGAGAGCATGCACGACACTTGGTACACGAGCTGTTGCTCCCGACTCCCGGCAGACCTGTCATTGAGGCAAAGCCAGGGGTCCTACTGCCCCAGGGAAAGGCAGGCAGGTGTCTAGAATAGGAAGCCCATGGAGGTGATCAAGAAGGAGGCAATGGCCTGCGTAAGTCCCTGCTAGAGAGAAAGTGGCCTGCTGGCGCTGGGATGAGTGACCACAGCTAGAGCGAGGGGAGTGGGGTTCCTGGGAGGGGACCTCTCAAGTGTGTCAGGGGTGAGAGGGATGTGCTGGAAATTCCAGCAGCAAACCCAACTGGTTGAGGAGGCCAGTTTCACAAGCAAGGAGCCTCCAAGCAGGTGAGGTCGAGGTGGTCCCCAAGATCCCGACTCTCCCTCTGTGGTCCCCAAGATCCTGACTCTCCCTCTGACAAATAAATGAATGAATTCAGCATCCCTGCATGCCACCTGTGCAGGGGGATGCAGAAGATGGAGGAGGACCCTGGCTAGGAACTCAGGTGGCCACTGAGGAGGAGCAAAGTGGCCCTTGGGCCGAGGGCTGCAGGGGACCACCCAGTCTGGCTGGGCCGAGAACAGAGCCACATTACCCCAAAGCAGGGGCTCGGTAGTACAAGCATGGCCTCAAGTCATGACCTGTGCCTCAAGCAGGAGGCAGCTCCTGGACTCAGATGTCGTCTTGGCAGGGATGGGAACAAGGGAGACCCTCTGAAGAGCAAGAGGCGCTATCAGCCCCGCTAGGGAGGGAAGGCTTAGAGTTAAATGCTTCTTGAAAAAGCCTGAGTTGGAGACCAAAGACCATTTTAGGTGGAAAGAGGCTGAGTTGGTTTGTTGACAATTAAAAAAATATACGTTAACAAACACATATCTGCATATCTGTAGAGTTTTAGCCTAGTATTTGGTTTTCCACAACCTGCCCAGGAAGTGGGGCTTAGAAAGGTTGACCAGCCCTGGGCCACCCAGTGGGCAGAGATGGGCTCTGAGCTCTGCCCCAGAGCCTGCAGGGAAGAGCCGGAGGGAGGCTGGCCATGCATGGGAGGGCCTGGGAACGGGGAGTCTGGAGAGTGGCTTTGCCGCCAGCTTGCCATGGGACCTCTGCGAAGCCGGTTCTCTCAGCCTGTTTGCAGAGTGGTCAGCTTCCGTGATTGCAGGAGATAGGGCTGCGGGAAATAGGGACATTTATTCCACGGTGTTGCTGCTCCCTGGAGGAGGAAGCTGACTTGCTCTGTGAAACAAGGTGGTGAAATCGGTGGTGGGGAACCCCCACTGGGATCCCACGGGTGGGCTCTGGAAGATCTGATGGGAACCAGGGGCACTTGTCCCGGCTTGGCCACCAGGTGGCAGCACAGCCCACTCTTGAAATTGTGTGTGTGTGGGAGGTGGGGTGCGGATGGAGTCGGGGATGCAAGTGATGAGTGAGGATACAGGTAGCCAATTGCAGGGAAAGAAGAAAGGGCCAAATACCCTAAGCTCCCTTCTGGCCCTCCTGGACCGGCTTTTCTTGCCCCTTCTTCCCAGGCTGTTGTGGACAAGGTGGGGCCCTGGGTGTCTGACAGGCCAAGGACCTGTGTGTGTCCAGCTTGCCCAGTGGTTAGGAAACCCTGTTTCTAGCCACA